TATTATTGGAGCATTTTTGAATTTTCTGCAGATATATTCTAGCTTCCTTCTATTGATGCCTGTTGGCAAGTCCCATATTGTTATGTATACTTTGTTGCTAGATTTCTCATCTAACTGTAGTCATTTATGTCATCCTCTGTCTCGTTTTTTTTCTTATTGTATGTCTCTTCTTCCTTTTTCATTGTACTATATCTTATTCTACAGTATTCTTCCTTGGATAATCTTTGTTTTTCTTTTATGCCTTTCTGTTCTTTTAGTATTAGTTTATACCAATTCTCTTCTTTCTTGCTAATTTCTTGGATTGCTTCATTTCTGCTGTGTTCACAATTAAAGTCTACCTCTATCTACAAGTTATCTCTTTTGAAAACTTCTTTAATGACTTTAACATTTTCATTGTTCTTTAGTGACCATTTGATGAATTTTGTATATTTTTCTTTCATTGTTCTTGGCATATTATGTGCTAGTATATTGGCAAGTAGACTGTTATTTTGGTTGCAATCTCTTTTGTTTGGTGCCCACATGCTCTCATCTAGTGGTTCTTCTACTATATCAATTTCTCTTTTGAATTCTTGTTTTATTTTATATTATGCTTCTGCCTTTTCTGTTGCTATGCTATGTTTTGATTTTTTTCAATTTGCATTTATACTCATTTTCTTTGTGATTTTTTCTTGTTGAGCTGCTAAGTTAGTTTTTTGTATTTTTTCTTCATACTGTCTGCCTTCTTTTCTATCTGCTTCTAATATTAGCTCTTGTTTAGTCTTTTGAATTAATTCTAATTTTGTTGGTTGAAATTGCTCTTTCGATATGTCATCTGTCTGTTCTAAGACCAGTTCTATTATTATTGCATAATTACTTTGTTTTACTATACTTAGCTTTTTTGCTAGCTGCTTTATCTCTGCTTTTCCTATTAACTTTCTTGTTAATCTCAGTAGTGCAACCTCATTTGGATTCTGTTTTGTTAGCATGGCAACAATTCTGTCTTCTCTATCAAGTATAATATATGTTTTATCTGCTTGATTAAGAAATACCCTATTGTATACACTATTAACAGCCTAGTATGCTTTTTAGATATATGTTGTCATTAGACTGTCATCATGTTCTCCTAGTGCATTCATATTTTTGCTTTAATTTGTACACATGTCTGCTTTGTTTTGTTTGCACATGACTGGTTTGTTTGCCTATGTGACTGGTTTGTTTGCCTATGTGACTGGTTTGTTTGCCTGTTTACATATTTGTGTTCTTGTAATCAAAACAGATCTGTGATATAGTGTTAGTACTAATTCCTCAAAATTTTTGTCTATACATATCTTTGAAGGACAAATTTTTGGTTTTTCTTGTTTTTCTATTGTTAGTCTACTTATTTTTTAGTTGCTTTTTCTTTTTTTATACCTTTTCTGAATGCTCTTCTTTTTTACTTAGTCTTATTAGAGTGATTCAGACAGTCATTTTTGTGTAAATTTGATTTTTGTTTCTTGCTGAATTTGTGTTTGAGTAATTAGCAGAAAAAGTTTGATAAAAAAAATTTGTTATGTAATATTTAGTTACTGCATTTTTTAAATTATATACATATGTTGAGAAAGCTTAGACTATGTCGAAATAGTTGTTGAGTATAGATAACACTAACTCTAACATATATACAACTATACTAAGAAGAACTAGACTACTTAAATAGAATACTATAACTATAATAACTAAACTCTAACAATAGTAAGGCTTCAGTTAAGACATGGTTCAGGTAATTAGAATTAATTGGATTTTTAGTAATAGTGTTAGCCTTAGATAAGTACATACCTACAACTTTCTTGCTAAACAATTTGTTCTCTTTGGCACTTTTGCTTGAGATTTTAACTTTTTTCTTCTTTTTGTAAGTATTACAGTTGGATCTTGAAATCAAATTTAGCTAATCAAAATCAGTTACAGGATTACATAATTTATTTCAGCATCCAAAAATGCTAAAATTGATATAATCAAATTACATATATATAATAATAGATCAATCACTAATTTAATTAGTAATGTTTATTATACTAGAAAAACAGATACTGTTAGTGTTCAAAGCATTTAATTTTATAGGATTTTCTATTTTGTCAGGCTAATCTGTGTTGATCTGTTATATTGGTTTAAACTCTAATTGAATATATATCATGTGAGTGAAACTCAAGATATTTTTTGGTACTTGCTTATCTATAGAAAGCCCTTTGCTATACTTCAGACAATAAAGAGTTTGATTACTAATTAATACTTTATTTTTTGATTACTTAATATGAAAATATGATGTATAAAATTTTGTGCAATGGGTGTGGTGACCTAGTGAAGTGGATAGGTTGTCAACCCTCAAGTGGCAGGTCTAAGGTTCAATTCTCACAAATGACAAATTTTGGAAATTATATCTGTGTTATGGTAACTGTCTCTTGCCGATCAGTTGGGTTTTGGGCATCTGTAATCTTAGGTACACCAAGTTGGGTCCCACCTGACATTGGGAGCTTGGAGCATCTATGCGAAGTGTAATGTTACATGGTACATGTACATAGAGGAATGTAAAACTGGTGTCGTATAAGACTTCGGGCAAACCTACAATAAAACCACCGGATGTAGAAGGCTAAGAAACTGAAGAGACAGAAACTCACTTGGAAATTCCAAGTAAAGAGGTAGCACAAACTTTCAATAGTGCCATTGAACTGATAGAAGCCCATGAAACACCTTCATAGGAACTGTTAGATAAACCAAATAACAAAAATGTATAGAGGAGTATATAACCAACTAGGCTACTAAAATCACCAGAGAAAAAGGATATATATATATACTATACCAGACCATCTGGATTGGGAGTCTGGGAAGTTGGTTAGTTCTGAGTTGTGGCTAGTAGAGGATGATGAAGAAGAAGTTGAAAAGATGGGTACCAGAGTTTGGGTGAACTTTACAAGGATAATAGCAGTTTAAGGGATAACTCTGATTGCAAGTATTGGCCTCAGCCATAGTGTCAAACCAGGTTAGAATAAAAGGGAATATGGCTCGCTCTGGTAGGTTTACCTTAAGGATAAAAATAGGCTAAGAATTATAGTTCTATGATCGATAGTGAATAGATCTGAGTCTGTGACCTGATGAAATAATACTAGAGTTAGATCAGAAGGTTTAAATAGAACACCTAAGCAGAGGTGTTAGATATGGCAACTGGTAGAGAACCCTTAGGTGGACTCTTTAAATAAGTAATATAGAAAAGTTATATGTGTAGCCAGTTGTACACTCATCTAATAGTTCATTATAGATATGTCTATATAAAACATGTACTTGCTATAAGTATTAATAAAAAGCTCGGACCAAAGAGATCACCTTAATACCAAAAAAAAAAAAAAAAATTTTGTGCAAGAGCAAATGATAACTTCGAATGATTTTAATAGATATATTATGAAAATGACAAATTTCAGAAACAAAAAAAAATAATTTTGATAATAAAGAAGAACTTATTGAAAACTATAATTTTTACTAAACATTTCAAACTCTAAGAGTTGTATATTTCAAATTGGACTCACCAGAGTTGATTTTTTTCAAGATGAGTTCATGCTGCTTATATATATTATTTTATATATATTAAGATAAGATATTACTAATATCTAATATATCTAATATCTCTAATATATCAGATATCTCTAATATATCAAATATCTTTAATATCTCTGATATCTTTGTTATTTCCATTATCTCTGTTATATTTATTATTCTTATTATCTGAAAGATAACAGTTATATTACTAATAACTAAGATATCAAAGATCTCTAGAATTACAGAAATCCTTGTGATTTTCATAATTCTAAGGATTTTTGAGACTTGTGTTACTTTGAACTGCAAATTCAAAATTTTCCTTTTTACAATGTACATATATACATAGTTTGGTTAGCAAATTTTATGCATATAATTACAAAGATCTAAAAATCTAAAAATTATAATATTATAGATTTTATAATTTTATACATACATAGGTATGTATTTATTTTTTTAACATGCATTCTAGTATGACAAGTATGGCATATAGCTTATTAGACAAATGATATATAGTTGATTCTTTGTAAGTGCACTTCACATGCATTTTCTATAGGCATATATCATTTATTCAGTTTATTTAATTGAATAACTTCATATATAGTTTCCTTTTAATAAGCACATATTCTGTAAATGCACTCTTCTTAACAATATGCATTTATAGAAGATTGAATGTATCAGATTTAAAATTATAATTTTAAAATAATACATGCTGTATTGTTTTACAGATGTAACATTACAAATTTCAGCCTAAATTAGGCTTAATTCAGGCTATTGCTCTAAATAATACCTATGTTCATTATTTTATAAAAATATAATAGGTCAATTAATTAACTTGTAGGTTAGTATTATTTCATGCTTATATTATAGTGGTACTTTGTGATAGATTCATTAATTAATGAGTTCACCAAATTTAGCAAACAATATGCAGATTACTGCAGAAACTTATAGTAATAGTAATTTTTATTTTATCAGAAATATCTTAATTTAAAGACTTTTTATTTTTGTTTAACCTTATAAAAATATAGACAACAAACACTAAAATTTTAATATTAATTAACCAATAGCAAAATCCTGCATATTTATTGGATATATACTAAAAATTTGAATATGCTATTTTCAATAATTTGCAAAATATTTTGTAAATTTTATATAATTGATGATTTAACTAATAATTACAGTAAATTTAAAAAGCATACTACTAACAATTATAATTTTTTAATTATAAAAATTATTATATTCCCTATTTTTTTTAATAAAAAGAAGTTTATTAACTATATTAGGCTTAAGCCTGTTTCTTTCAACTATTATTTGTTTATCTGTATCACTAAAAAGATGTTCACTAAAAATGGACATTGTTGAAATTCCTAAATATTTTTAAGATATCTTAAAAAGAATGAAAAAATCTTTCTTATTATCTTTTCATCATTTAAATAGATCTTTATTACTATTAGCTTGTGGTGTCAGAAATCTGTCAAGATAATATCAACTTCATTCTCATTAATCTTTTTGTTTTTTTTAAACAGATGTAATTTAAAATTGTTATTTGGTTTTTCTTTATGCCCTTTAAAATGATATCTATTTTTATTGCTAGACTCTTGGCTATTATTTAAAAGTTCTCTATCTTTAAAATGGATGTATTTAGATCTTAATAAAGCAATTGCTCTTTTTTTTTCTTTTTCTGACTATTCTTTTATTTTTTTGAACCTAGGGTCTAAAATACTCACAAATAAGACTGAATTTGATAGAGAATTAAAATAATTACAGAGAGTATTATAAATTGTATTTTTGACCAAATTAATAATATTAGTAATATTTGGTCTATTAATGCTATTATTTGTTTCTTTCTCTGTCTCTTCTTTAGTTTCTTCTTCAGTTTCTTTCTCAGTTTCTTCTTCAATTTTTTCTTTCATCCAATCTGATTCTTTACTCATTAATTCAATTTTTATTATTTTTAATTATTATAAAATAACATATTATTAATAAATAATATAACATTTTTTAAAGTTTTCAATTTATGAATTAATTCTATACACACTATCTAATAATTTAGTTTATATGTATAGTAATTGATTAGAGAAATTTGATTAAGTTTAAATTAGTTTTAAATTAGCAAAATTTTCTAATACTACTTAGCATATAACTCTATTAACTTATAATTATATTACCCAGTTTTGTATATACATATATATGTACAAAATACTAAATATATACTACATATATGCAGTGCTAAATGGGACATATACATAGTGTATTATATATAAAATTTGGTAGTCATATATACTACATAATTTTAAAAATAACAGCAAAAAAATATTTATTGAATTTTGCAAAGCTTTATAAATTGTACAACTTTTAATAAAAAAAACATATATATCATCACTTTCTTCAATTACAAGATAGTTATATTTTAGGGCTTATATAATAGGATATATTAGTAATAATGTGCAATACTTTTGACTGCTAAGCCATTCTGTTGCTTCTTCAATTAGTTGAAACAACTCAATTAGATAATTAAGCAAATCTCATTTCTAATATTTTAAGAACTATTTTTTTAATATTTTATAGTCTTTTTTTGCTTCTTTATTATTTTTTAAAAAAAGTTTAAAGATAACATGTTTTATGAAATCTTTTAATTCTTTTAATCATATCTAAAAAGCTAATAAAAACCTCTACTAGGTATTATATTTATTAATAGTTCTTAAGATTTTTAAAGGAATATAAGTTGTTGATTCATTTGTTTCTTTATTTGAGGTCAGATCAGATGAAATTAAATTAAACAAATCTTGGTTAGCTGAAGCTAAACTATTTAGCACATCATAATTAGTCTCATTTCTTGATAATTGATGCTATACTTTCTCTAATTTTTTATTTTGTTTAGGAGAATTAAAAAAACTATTTAATTTTTTATATCTTTTTATATACAGCTTAATTTTATGCAAAGTCTTGGTTATATATAATTGAAAGGTATGTGCTAAGCATAGTACATGTTCAACATCTTTCTACTCATAAATTGCCTTTATTATATTGGAATCACTATTAGTAACTGCTACTTTAACTTTATTATTTAAACCTATAGATGTAATTTTAAAAATAACAATATTACAAATATAATCATCAATATAAGAATATTTAATATTTTCAATACAAAGAAGGATATCATATAGCTCTATATCATTATTCAACTAGTAGCAGGTTATTCCTATATATTCATCTTTCATATATGATATCCAGAGATTAGTTGTTATAGCTGCATTTTTACATGATTTGCTAATTAATTCTTTTATTGATTGAAACATTGCTTAATATCCAATACTTAAAATTTTTTTTAATAGTTTTATAGGCTGGTAAATAAAATACTAGATCAAATTTTTTCATTATTTTCTGAAATCCTAACCCATTTACTATACTAAAAGGTTGAGAATCCATTATAATCCAGTTTGTAACAGTGTATTATAATTCATACTGCTTTGATTTTTATGCGATGTAACTTTTTTAAATTGATCATTGATTTTTGTTTGTTTCTAAAAATTAAATACATTAGTAAAAATGCTAAAATTTTAATTATAAAAAATAAATTTAAATTTATTTACTAATTTTTCTTCATATATTTTATGAACTGTTCCTAAATGATGAATATTACTACTAGTTTGAGAATTATAAATGTAGTTCCATCTATATTCCATCTTTTTATTCTGGTTTACAATATATTTACAATAAGCATAGCCATTAGTTTTTAACCCAAAATGCTTCTAAACAAAACTAGTTTTATTATTTCCAATATCAACCCATTGAGGTACTTTAAAAAGCAAATCATTATCATTGTTATGATTTTTTTTACTTTGTTAAGAGGGTGATGTATAATTAGAGTGCTTTTTTAAATTAGACATTTTAAAGAAACTAAATTTTGCTAAATGCAAACAGATAAAAATCACATTATAGATTTATATATGTTATATTTTGAGTTAAAAGATCAAAAATTATGATTAGTCTAAATATAATATACTTATACTTTCATATGTGACTAACTGTACAAATGCCTCACAAGTAAAAAAAACTAGGTTAAAATAACTAATTTGGTATTAATAGCATCTAAACCCAATTGATAAGAAAGTGAATAAGATAAGTATAATTTAATATACTGCTTATTTTAAAAATTATGACACAAATTCATTAGAATACTAAATTAGATAAAGAAGTATTACAAAAAATAAAATTTCTAAATCATAAGAAAGTGATCCAGATTTACACCTAATCTTTCTCTTCAGATTAATAAATGACTTCTGTTACTAAAAATTCAAGTCAAATAGCAAAATATAATTTGTCTTCAATTAGTAATATCATAAAGTTAAGGAAGTATTGTAATTATTATTTGATTTTAGAAAAAAAGACACTAATTTTATTCTCACTTTGCTTATGAATATAAATTTTGATACTATGTTATTAATCAGAATTAAGCATATCTCTTATTTATTAGATATCTTTATATATATATAAATTATTTTATTTTACTATATTATCTTGTATTATCATTATTTATTGATTAGATTAGTATTAACAGCAACTACTTATAAGAATCATTAATTAATCTTACATTTGTATCAGTGATAAGAAATTGATCTAAGATACATACTTCTAATCATGATATAATAATTATATAATTAAGAATAATAATTTCTATTCAATGAATTTCTTTAATATAAATTACATTATGGTTATTGTATTAAAATATTAAGAGCTTTAAATTCTAAGTTATTATCAAAAATTTAAATAGTATTAATTAATATTAAATAATTGTATGTAATCAATTTAGCCCATCTTTGGTTGCAATGAATGAAATTTATAAAAGTATTTAACTAAATTAGTATCATAATTGTTAATGTTACTATATGAAGCAGCATTTATACTGAACACAATAGCATAATGCTTTTGATATAACAAGCTTCTCAGTTCACTGCACATACAAGTTTTAATATTGTGAAGGTTTATCAAATAAAAAATAAAGTTTTTTTATCTAACAGAATTTGTTTCTAATAGCTCTATCTAATACTACTACTTTTAATATTAACATTTTATTTAGATGTTATAAGAATGACTGGAATAACAGCATAGTAATGATGCATTATTTCTATTGTTTTTTTTTTTTTTTTTTGTTAAAGGTTATACTTGTGGTGATACTTTATTGACTTTATATCAGGTTAGCTATTACAA